CTCTTCTTCTCCTTAGGTTGCTCTTCCATCTTTCTATTTTATTTGTTTCTTCCGATTCCTCTTTTCTTCTTCTTTCTCCCTTTCTTCTTCCCTTTCCTCTTCCTCCTTCTCCTTCCCTCCTCTTCTCCTCCTTCTTTCTCCTTCTCCTCCTTTTCCTTCCCCTCCTCCGTCACCTTTTTCTCCTCCTAATTCTCCCCCTTTCCACCTCCTTTCCGTGCAGAAAATAAATAAGGAAGCAGGAAAATAGAGATCAAGACACATAAAAAAGAAAGAGGAGATAAACAAGCGCTCTTTGAAGTTGATAAAGGAAGCGAAGATGATCAAAGGGAAATTTTGGATAAAAAGCGCGCGAAAAGCAATGATAAGGCCATGGGGGGGGGTGGGGGGGGTCCGTCCCGCTTGAGCCACTGCCATCTCCTTGTTTCTTCTGAGTATCTGAGGTGTTCTTTTAGTCAAAATCTGCTATTTTGTTTCGGTTATATATGATTTGTGCTATATACGCACGCACATCACATGCACATGCACGCACTACGTACACACACACACACGCACACGCACACGCACACGCACACACACATACACACACACACACACACACACACGCACACACACGCACACGCACACACACACACACCACACACACACACACACACACACACACCACACACACACACACACACACACACACACACACACACACACACACACACACACACACACACACACACATCGGTCTGTATATCCAAAATTATTCTCCCACATATATCCCCCCCCGCCCTCACCCATTCTCTCTCACAACCTAAAAGCTGATCATTCCCCATTGCAGTTTCCTCACGTGCAATTTCCCTTTTTTTTCGTTCCAGGCGGGAGGAACGTGTTGCAGCTGCTGTTGAGCTTCGCGGTGGGCGGGCTTCTCGGCGACGTGTTCCTGCACCTGCTTCCGGAGGCTTGGAGTATGGCCTGGACGGTAAGGGTGGCGTGAAGTTTTTTTTTTTTTTGTAGGGGTGTCTATCTGTTTTTTTTTTTTTTTTCTTCTTCTTCTTCTTCTTTCTTCTTTTTGTTCTTGTTCTTGTTCTTCTTCTTGTTCTTCTTCTTCTTCTTCTTCTTCTTCTTCTTCTTCTTCTTCTTCTTCTTCTTCTTCTTCTTCTTCTTCTTCTTCTCTTCTTCTTCTTCTTCTTCTTCTTCTTCTTCTTCTTCTTCTTCTTCTTTCTTCTTCTTCTTCTTCTTCTTCTTCTTCTTCTTCTTCTTCTTCTTCTTTCTCTTCTTCTTCTTTTTTCTTGTCTTTATTCCTTTTTTTTTCTCTTTCCCTAACTACCTTTCCTTTTTCTCCTTCTCCCTTTCTCTTCTTTTCTTACCTTTCCTTCGGCCTATATTACTCCCTTCCTTCCTTTCTTCTTAACTGCCTTGATTCCTCCATTTCCCTGCCTTCTCCTTCCTTCATTCCTCCTCTTCCATCCCTTCTCTCCTCCCCTCCCTCCCCTCCCTCCCTCCCCCTCCTCTTCTCCCTCCCTCCCTCCCTCCCTCCCTCCCTCCCTCCCCTCCCTCCCTCCCTCCCTCCCTCCCTTCCCTCCCACCTCCCTTCCTCCCTTCCTCCCTTTTCCTTTCTTTCCCTCCCTCCCATCCTCTCTACCTCCTTCCCTTCCTCCCATCCATTTTCATTGTGAAGCATATAATGAATGGTGTTCTTCACATAGTTAATTAGTATGTAGTTCGTCTATTATGATTTGATTATTGGTAGTTTTTCTGTTTATATATAATTCCTCTATATTATAAATTATTCCATTGCTTTATAAATCATCTAGTAATTTGCACATCATAATTGCA